GGGAGGCTGAGGTGGGAGGATCACTTGAGCCCAGGAGTTCAAGGCAGCAGTGAGCTACGATTGCACCACGGCACTGCAGCCTGGGTGACAGGAATTCATCTCAAGAACCATTTGGTCCAGTCGTCAGGATGGGATTACAAAGATGTAAGCAAATGACCACTATGAAGTACGTAACCTGCAAGACCCAAGGATGTACAAGGTGTAGAGGCAGTGGAGGGACTAAGACTGTTAGTGGCAAAGGGATGGATGTTAAGGATACTTCCCTAAGGAGGCAACATGGGAACAGGGTTTTGATGGATAAATGGAAGTTCACCAAGAAGACAAGGGGAGAAGTGAATTCCAGTCAGAGAGAATATTATGTGCAAGGGTCATGAACATAAACAGCATGATAAATTCAGAAAACATAAGCAATTTTAATTATGTTGAGCTGCCAGGTTTCAAGGCAATTAGGAGAACCAGCCAAACTGAAAGTAACAATCAAGCTGTTACTTACTGCAACTGTGTAGACAAGGCAAAAAAGGAAAGTGCTAGTGAAACTGTACCCCACAGAGTTAGAGATTTCAGTAACTAGCAAAATTTCTTGAGCCTATGTTGCAGGACAGAGGACTAGTCTTTTATCTTTGTTTGCAACAAAATTGGCTATCAGGCTGAGACTGCTTGGAACCAACATGGCTAACTCAAGTCTGTGCAGAATAGATTTGCTCACCCAATGAATAAATAACTTTTTGATGTTAGAGGGCTGAAAACTCCACCCTCAGATCATGCTAACACTGCCACTTTCTGAACACCTATGCGATCTATGAAGAAGCATGGAAGGGCAACAGCACATGCCCAAGGGACTTCCCAAATCCTCTTTCCTTACAGCCAATCATGGTCCATCCCTGAAACCCTCAAAATCTTTCCCTTAATAGCCAAAATCTATAACTGCAAGGCCAGCATGGGGAGATAAATTTGAGCCTGACTCCTATCTTCTTCCTTGGCTGTCTAGCAATAAACCTTTCTCGGTGCAAAAACCCAGAGTTTCTGTGTTTGGCTTTCTGGTGCAGGCAGGCAAACAGATCCAGTTTGGTTCTGTGACACTGGCTTCCTTTGTTCCATTTCCCCCCAACAGAACAGCACTGGGTGTGGTCAAGTGTCATGAAGGACAGGTGGGGAAATCATCTCACTGCTGCGGAGACTGGACAAAGACCTCCTGAGGGGCGAATGGGAAGGAAAAAGGGAAAGGTTAAGAGTGGAAAGTGTTGAGTCAGAGTGCAAGGGAAAGAGGGTTAGAACACAGAGAGTAGGAGGTTTAGGGGAAAATAGAGATGCTCTGAGTCCCTGCAACCATCTGCAGAACATGACAGCACACTAGCTGGGCACCAAGGCCCATATGGGAGGGCAGCTCGCACTTTCCCTGTGAGGCTTGCCCAAGTAGAGCCCTGTAATTGCTTGTGGTTAGCCTCAAGGGCTACACATAGCACACAGGATTTGGCCACAGGATACTATGTGATTTACAAAAATCATTTACTAACAAAATGAAGATGAAACTGATGGAGAGGACTTCAGTGATGAAGGTGACCAGCAGGGAGGCTAGTCTCATAATCCAAAGGAGAGGGGTAGAACTGAACTCGTAAGTGATTGAACCTAGTCCACGCAAGAAAGAAAGTGAATTCCAAAAGGATGATAAACTAGAAGAAACTAGGGGAGTCAACAGAATAAAAATTAGTTTAGATAGTAGGGGGGAAGATCTAGAAAGGCAGGAATTAGAGTAAGAAAGCAGGGAAAAAGAGCCTGTGAGTTCCGAGGTGAAATGACTACAAGTTATCATGAGAATACAGGTATGTTCAGGTAAGAAGAGTACTGAAGTAGAGGGAAGTCAAGGGTACAATGCTATGGTTTCTTTTTCATTGATAATTTCACTCAAGGTGACGGCACATGTCAGTGACAGTGGTTGTAAGAAGGACAGAAGTGATGGCATGAGTTTCCAAGGAAGAAGGGTGTTTGAACAAGGATGAAGGCTGATGCCAGTTCAGAAAGGGAAGAGAGCAACTTCTTGCAAAAGGGAAGCAAAAGAAAGCACTACCTTTGGGGGGGAGGTTCTGAGAAGAGCCTGAGGGACTGCAGAACTTATTTTCAAAATGGAATATAGTGTCTAGAGAGGAGACTGGGAAAGGATGAGAGAGAGATCAACAGAGTAGAGGGAGATGAGAAAACAGGACAGAACTAGTGCCTGTAACACCTAACCTTTGGGTGGTGACAGGTGAGAGATGTGGCTTGAATTCCAACTGGCCACAAGGGTCCCAAGTATGGTCATTTGGAATTCCAGTCATTTGGAATCTGGCCTAGCTGGTTTCTGCCGGCAGTGACACACAGCAATTTTACTCTACCTGTAGGTTTCTTATTTAAATAAACTTTGATAATGTTTAAACTTCTCAAAAATGTGTTTGTAGCTGGGCGCAGTGGCTACATTTGTAATCCTAACACTTTGGGAAGGTGAGACAGGAGGACCACTTGATCCCAGGAATTTGAGACCAGCCTGGGCAACATAGCAAGACCTTGTCTCCACAAAAAGAAAAAAAAAAATTGGCCGGGTGTGGTGGCACGTGCCTATAGTCCCAGCTACTTAGGAGGCTGAGACAGGAGGGTTGCTTGAACCCAGGAGGTGAAGGCTGCGGTGAGCCATGATCATGCCACTGTATTCCAGCCTGGGCAACAGAGTGAGCCTCTGACTCAAAAAAAAAAAAAAAAAAAAAAAAATCAAAGAAAATGTGTTTGTTTATTTGGCAAAATGAAGTTTTAATCAAGAGCAACAAAATGTTTTAATGCTCACTGGTATAGAATAGCAAAATACTTGTTAATATTAAGCTCAGAAATAGCTTCTAAGAATATCAGTGTTAGAAGGACTTTAAGAGCTCATTTATTTACTCTACTAAGCCAACAGGACTATACTTACACGTAAAGGTAATACTCTGGAGAAGGTAATGTCAGTCTCAACAAGCAGGGGAAGGTAATAACCTTAAAAAGTAATCTTTTTTAGTATTTGATAAAACTTAGCTGAGGACAAGTCTTTGGATGTTCACTTTGAAGCTTTTAATCAGACCCCTACTTCATCTGGTTCTGTCCAAGAAGAACAGTTAGTTCATGATTAGATAGGTAGGTAGGTAGGTAGGTAGATACACAGGCGGACAGATCAATACTGAATTTATAATTATTATTCAAATAACATTTATTCACCCTTTTCTACCCTGTTGACAACTTTTCACTTTGATGCAATTCTGTAAAATTAAAAAAAGAGTAAGGCATTTCTTTTCATTGCTTTATCATAAAAGGTCTAAAAAGCAGTACCCTGGTTACAGCAGATGAAGAATGCTTAGAGAGCTTATCTACACACATGCAATGGATCTGTTTAAGGGTAGTTTATTAACAGTAATCTGCCCAAGACATCTGTCACCTACTTATTACAAGGGCTAATTAAGTTTTGTTTGGAAGCCAGGTTAGTTTTCCCCCCTTGCTTACCCATCCAGTGTATGTTTCTCCTAAAAGTGTGGGTCATAGTAAGTTTTTGCACATTGCTTCAGATAAACCCTGTACTTTAGTTATATAAGAAATGATACTGTGATGGTTAATTTTAGATGTCAGCTTGACTGCATTAAAAAATACCTAGAGAACTGGTGATGCATTATTTTTAGGTGTATCTATGACGGTGTTTCCAGAGGAGACAGTGAGCAAGTCTGAGTGAACAAAGTGGAGAAGATCCTCCCTCAATGTAGACAGGCACCATCCACTTGGCTGGGGGCCTAGATAGAATACAAATGGAGGAAAGGCCAACTGGTGTCTCTCTCTCCTGGAGCTGGTATACACTCCGGGGACTCCAGGACTTGCACCAGCAACTCCTGGGGTTCTCAGGCCTTGGGTCTGAACCAGCCTACTGGCAGCACAGGGCCTCCAGCTTGCAGATGGCCTGCTGTGGGACTTCTCATCATTCATAATCACATGAGCCAATTTCCCTAATAAATTCCCGCTCCTACCTCTATTTATATTTATAGCTATATCCTATATCTATAACCCTATTACCTATTACCATTGAGCACTGAGCTCTCACTTTGTGCCAGGTACTGTGCTGTTTTATATAAGATCTCACTGAAATTTCACAACCATCTGTGTAACATAAAATACAGTGACTCACCTTTTAAATAAATTAGAATGATTCTTTTTGGACTTTATATATAACACTTTTAACTATAGGCACTGATAAATAATAATTAAAAGAGCTAAAATGTGATTTTTAATTGTCTAAATATTAATTCCAATCTCCTCCATTAAATCTTTAATCAGGCCAGGCTTGGTAGCTCAGCCTGTGATCCCAGCACTTTGGGAGGCCAAGGCGAGTGGATTGCCTGAGCCTGTGGGTTCGAGACTCACCCGGGCAATTTGGGGAGATCTTGTCTCTTAATAAATCAAAAAAATTAGCCAGGCATGGTAGTGCATACCTCTGTAGTTCTGGCTACTTGGAAGGCTGAGGCTGGAGCCCAGCAGGTCGAGGCTGTGGTGGCCGGGAGTGTGCCACTGCACTCCAGTCTGGGCAACAGAGTGAAACTCCAACTCAAAGAAAAAAAAAATCTTTAATCAACTACTTTAAAATAGTTAAGTGATCAGATGTGAGTGCTATCGCCTTTCTGAGTCCTTATCCCTTCCTGAAAGAGGTACTAACATGTTTCAGAAAAGACATAAGAGAAGAGAGGCAGAAAGAAAGTGAAAAACAAGTCACATGGAACAGACTGAACCAGTTCAGTAACATTTATTTCCCATGTGCAAGGAAGCTATATGAAAATCTGTTTTTTAAATGGTTCACACTGCTGCTATTTTAACTTTGCCTAAGTTCCTTCTTTCCTAAATGATTTTGAGCACTCATCAGAAGGAAGGTAATACATTTTTTTTTTAAATAGAAAGGACAATTTTGAAAATTCAGGTTTATCTTTCACAATGCCAGGGGTAAATATCAAAACAGTAGTACTTACCTCCTTAGCACTCTTAATTTTGGTCAGAAATGTATGGAGCTCCATTGTTTCTGCAAATAGTGCGCGACATACTGCCTGATAATGATTTGGTGCTTCTGATTCAGTTGGCAGATGAGCAGCACATAACTACAGAAGAGGAAAATAAGGGTACTTGGTTATCATTTGGGTTATTTTGTACCTTAAAAACAGACACATCTAGTATATTTGTATTTTCGTATCAGACAGCATGGCAATTCCCATCATTCAAGGCTTAATGTAGCACAAGATCATCAGTAAAGTCTACCCAGTTAAATGGGAAAAGTGGTCCACTAAACTAACAGACACCCAACAGCACATATGAGCTTATTAGAATTACTTAGCTTCTATTTGAAAATGATAAAACATTTAAAAATATACGTGTTGGCTGGAAGCAGAAAAGGAACCACCATTTTTTGAGTATTGATGATAATTCAGGTATTTTAACAGCTACCATTTATTGAGCAATTATCATGCCAGATACTATATTTGACATGTCATATATACAAGATATATACCATTTACCATATATACCATTTACTCTTACTCTTCAGTGTAACCCTGAATTATCCCCATTTTGTAGCAAAGGAAACTGAAGGAGAAGTCAAATGATTTGTCTGTCTAGTTACACGGTTATCATGAGGGAGGAGAATTCAAATATAGTCCTATATATATTGGGTTCTGGAGCCCAAACTTGTTCTGATACATGTTGAATTTTATAATGTAGTAAAGAGAATGTCAGGAAAACATGAAGATCATGGGGAAGCTGCCTCAGCAGTTAGCTTGGGGAAATTGGGAGTGAAAGAAAGAGGGCAGAGGGCAACAAAAGCCCACGGGTGCTGCCTACAGTCCTAATGTCCTTTGCTGTATATAGCCTATAATCCCTGCAAGACTACTCTACTTGTGGATAAAATGCAATTTAACATCATGAAAAGCAATTCAGAAAAATCAAACACCACTTAAATTGATAAGATTGGAAAAATATCCTATCAAGAGTCCAGTATTCTGGAATAATTTTATCTTTCTATAAAATAATAATTTTGTATCCACATATAATCGTTATGTTTTAAAGAGTTGTATTTCTATAAATGGCCAAAGGATAATTAGAAAATGAATTAAGAAAATTATTCCATTTATAATCTCATCAGAAATGCTAAGGAATAAACCTAACAAAGGAAATGGAAGACTTATACATTGAAAATGATTAAACATTGCAACAAAAATTAAAGAAGATCTAAATAAACAAAAAGACATCCTAGTTTCATAGATTGGAAGATTTAATATGGTTAAAATACAATATATTGAATGCAATCCCTAACAAAATCCCAATAGGCTTTTTTTAAGAAACAGAAAACTGCCAGACTCAGTGGCTCAACCTGTAATCCCAGCACTTTGGGAAGTGGAGGCAAGTGGATTGCCTGAGCCCAGGGTTGGAGACCAGCCCAGGCAACTTGGCGAGACCTCATCTCTACAGTAAAAAAAAAAAAGCCGGGTGTGGTGTCACGTGTCTGTAGTTCCTGCTACTCAGAAGGCTGAGGTGGAAGGATCACTGGAGCCCAGAAGGTCCATGCTGGGGTGGCTGTGAGCATGCATGCCACTGCACTCCAGCCTGGGCGAAGGAGTGAGACTCTAACTCAAAAAAAAAAAAAAAGAAAGAAAGAAAGAAAAAGAAACAGAAAACCTCTTTTACAAAGAGGTCCTTTGCAACAACCCAATTTAGAGATTAGGAGATTGAGATTTGTAACAGCTAAGTAATTTGCCCAAGGTCACACAGCTAGTCAATGGCAGAAATGTAACTGCATCCAGGCAGTCTGACTCCAGAACCCAAGTTCTTTTCCACTTCACTGTAAAATAGATGTAATATTTTTATATTAAAGGAAATAATGTTCTTAAAGTGCTTAAGCATAAAGCATGGTATATAGTAAGCAAGTCACAAAATAATTTTTTAGTTACCGAAAAAGGGGTGCTATGGGGGTAGGGAGACATAATTAGAAGGAACAGGTTCTATCCCATATCAATCAACATGGTTTTATGAACTTCAACAAGTTATTTAACATTACTGGGCTTCCATTTATCTCAAAAAGGAGAGGATTGGGCTATGTGACTTCTTAATATAACCTATCTCTCCTTGCTCCACGAATAAATTTTTAAGTTAAACTGAAAGGCTGAGTTTTTTGAGGAATTGATCCTGGATCTTCTTCGGGTATACACTACTCACTGTAGCTGATCTTGACTAGTCTAAGGGCTTTAAATATCACCTGTAGACTGATGACTCTCCAACTCCTAGTCTAGACCAGACTTTTCCTTTACATTAAAAACTTATAATGGTATACGAAGCATTTCCACTCAGATGTCACAAAGACATCTCAAACTTAACATTTCCAAAATTCAACTCCTGGTTTTCCTTACTCTTTCCATCTTTTCTATCTCAGTGAGTAGTACCATTTATTATCAGAAATCTGAGAGCCATCCTTTTTTCTTTTTCTCCCTCCTCAAGACTGGGTCTTGCTATGTTCAGGCTAGTCTCAAACTTCTGGGGCCAACCAGTCTTCCCACTTCAGCCTCCTGAATAGCTGGGACTATCGGTCTATACCACCACCCTGGCTAAGAGTCAGCCTTGACCATCAGTGAGTCCTGTTATTTTTGCCTTCACAATATACCACCTGAAAGCTCTCTACTTTTTTCTCCATCTCCTCTACCTCATGGCCAAGTCACTGTTTTCTTTCATTGGAGGACTCCTAGATTCCTCTCTCATCCACCCACAAGAGTCTCCTCCACTGGACAGTAAAAATATTTTATGAATATAATTTGGATTATATTTATCCCTTGCTTATTCATCAAGTGCCAACTATGTACCAGGAACTGTGGTAGAAATGGACATAATATTGAACGAGTCCAAGTCCCTGTCCTCTCAAAATGAACATTCTAATGAGTATCTCAGACCTTAAGCGTGTGTGCATGCGCATGCACACATCCACACATGCATATGCATGCACACACACACACACACATCCAATGTTGAGAATAACAGCTACTATTAAAGAAAATAATGCAGGTGAGAGGTAGAAAATAAAACCAGTGTTGGGGAGGGGAGATAATCTGGAAAGAATGGTCAGGAGGTAGCCCTGGAGCTGAGAGTTCAATGAAGACAGGAGCGAGCCATAGAGACCTAAGGCAAGCGTGTCTCGGGCAGAGTAGGACAGTGGCTCCCACTGGACTTAAAACCAAAACTCTTCTATGCTCTAAAAAGTCCTCATCATCTAGCCCATACCTACCTCTCTGATCTGATTTGTCGTTCTTCCCTTCACTTTGCTTTGGTAACCCTGGATTTGCTTCTTTAAAATATGCCAATCTCTTTGCAGATTTCATACTCTAGAGGTGTTAATTTAAATACCACCTACTCAGAGAGCCTTCCCTGTTTGTCCTTTCTAAATGTATTCTTTGCCTCTAGCTTTCCTGTTATTTTTAAATCACTGTTTTCTGTTCATTTGCTTTACAGCAATTATTAGAATTTATAATTCTGGTCTGGTGTGGTGGCTCACACCTGTAATCCCAGAACTTTGGGAGGCAGAGATGAGGGGATTGCCTGAGTTCAGGGGTTTGAGACCAGTCTGGGCAACTTGGTGAGACCTCGTCTCTACAATAAATAAATAAATAAATAAATAAATAAAAAATTAGCTGGATGTGGTGGTGCGTGCCTGTGGTTTCAGCTACTTGGAAGGCTAAGGCGGAAGAATCACCTGAGCCCAACAGGTCGAGGCTGTGGTAGCCATGAGCAAACCACTGCACTCCAGCCTGGGTTACCCTACTGCCCTAGTTACTCTTGTCCTTTGCATTCCATTTCCATTTTAATAGAGTTCATCAGTTTTCAGAGAAAAGCCCCTGAGATTGTAACAATCCTTTAGGGAGAGATGGTATGTCTCAAGTCATTTAATTCTTTGAAAATTATTTTAACAATGTTTTATAGTTTTCTGTATAAAGGTTTTGCATGACTTTGGTTTGCCTTATTCCTAGGTATTTGATTTTCTGGGATGCTTTAATGTGTATATATAAAAACTGTGTGTGTGTGTGTGTGTGTGTGTGTGTGTGTGTGTGTGTGTGTGTGTGTGTGTGTGTACACATATATACATATATAAAAATACTTATATATTATATACTTACAAAATTTCATTTTCTACTCTTCGTTGTTCTGATTTTTATATATTGACCCTTCATCAGAGACCTTCCTAGGTTCACTTACTGAAAGAAGGAACCTATAAGAAACCTAGAATAGGACAACCCCCTTGGGTTCCCTCCCACTGTGGGAGCTTTTTGGTCCTCTCAATAAATCCTGCTTTAAAAAGAAAGAAAGAAAGAAAGAAAGAAACCTAGAATAAACTTAGTTTAGTGTAGTCTTTTTGCCTCAGCACAACCATTTTTGCTTGGACTTTATCCCTGACATGCTTTGAATCTAGCACAGGTTAGACATAGATAAATTTCCAATAGGCAGGTTTTAAGAAGCATTCAGACATTCTACTGTGGGCCAAGCTGGTAGCCTGTCCCTTCATCCTCAGCAAATCTCCATCAGATGTAAGACCAGGACAGCCCAACAGCCCAACCTTTCAATTCATGGTTTAGCACAACGATCTCTAGGAAACTTTTCAGGTTCCTTGTCAAGGCAGAAGATCAAAGATCACCCCTTGGCTGGCATAAGCCATAGAAATGATAATAAGACCACCTTTTGGTCAAGGAGTTTGTAAACTGCAAACGTCTGACAAGTCTCTTGCAGGGCCCCCCCGCCCCCCCCCATCTCTTCCCATCTAACCCACCACCTGAGGGCATGAGATGCTAGTGTCTGGTTACCTCAAGATCTAAGACTCATGTGGCTACAGTGGGCCCTGGACATTCTTCTGGGCTTAAATCCCCTTGCCCAAAGGCCCTTAAATATATCAATTGCTTGATCCTTCGAGGCCACACTTGCCTCTGAGTGTTGGCCCCCTTTCCAATCTGTGAAAGGTGAATAATAAACTTTACTTCTTTCTACTTTCTTCCTTGTTGCAATCTTGCATTATTCCCGCAGCATGGGCACGGGCACCGGCCCACCTCCCCTCAGTGGATCCTTTCACTTACTAATTCTCAAAGATAATCTATAGATTATTTTGCATTTTCTACCTAATCATAAAATCTGTGAATCACTACAGTTATATTTCTTCCTCTCTAGTCTTTGTAATTTTTAACTTCTCTCTTGCCAGATTGCTCTAGTTAGGAACTCCAGTACAAAGTTGAATAGAAGTGGTGATAGCAAGCACCCATGGGTCACTTCTAATCTTAGAGGGAAAACTCAACATTTCACTATTATTGCTTTTAGTGCTTCTTCTTTTCTAACAGATGCATTGATATCCATAAATTTCTCTGTAGTCTGGACTTCAGTATCCCTTAAATTTTGACAGGCCACATATTCATCATTATTTAGTTTATTTCCACTGTGATTTCTTCTTTGACTGGGCAAATATATGTGGAAATAATAAAATCACTTTTACTGTTAATACTTGGACTAATTCTACTATGGTAACAGAATATTTCCTATATAATTTTAACTCTTTGAAATTTGTTAAGACTTGTTTTTATGGCCTACAATATGGTCAAATTTTTTATTGTTTCATGTATGCCTGAATAGAATGTATACTCTGCAGTGGATGGGTGCCATGTCCAATAATGTTAATTAAGGTTTGTTATTCCCATTGTTCAAATAATCTATATTGGCACTGAAACCAAGAGAAGTATGTACACCCTCCTACTATGATTGTAAATTTTTCTACTTATTCGTTTAGTTTTAATTTGATTTAATTATTTGAATGTTATTCGATGCTGTTGTTACAGGATATGCTATTACATAAAAAATTCAGAATGGTTATTTCTCCTTAGTGAATTGAACCTTTTAATCATCAAGCATTCATTTTTTATCTCTAGTAATACTTTTGTCCTTTAGGTCCATTTTATCTGAAAATAATACCTATATCTTTCATCTGGTTAAAACGTTATTTTTTTTGTCTTAAGCTTTCTGTGCTCTGTATTTATGGTGTATCTTCTGTAAGCAACGTATGGCCATATTTTGTATTTTTAATGCAGTCTAAAAATCTTTTTTAAAAATTAGAGTACTTTAAGCTAGTACAATACATACAAACGCAATGTGGGCCACATATGTAATTTTAAATTATCTAGTAGCCACATTTTTAAAAGTAAAAAAGATATAAGTAAAATTGCAATACTTCAAATTATAGTCAATATAAAAATTATTGAGACATTTTACATTCTTTTTTGGGTGTCAAGTGTTTGAAATCCAGTATATATTTTACCCTTTCAGCACATGTAAATTCAGACTAACCACATTTCAGGTAATCAATAGCCACATGTATTGAGCAGTAAAGATTTAGACCATCTACATATAATGTAACTATTAATTAGGTGTCAAATTACCATCTTCTATTTGTTTTCCCACCTATTTACCTCATCTGTTCCATATTCCTTTGCAATTCTCTCCGTCTCTTCATTTGGATTATTAATAAATTAGCCTAACTGTCCCCTTTCCCTATAAGCTTGGTTTTCACAAATTCTCTTACTTTTTTCAGTTGTTTCCCTAAGATTAGTTGTTATCAAAATCTAATATCTTAGTGTTTTAAGGAACTCCCTACGATCTCTGAACAATCGCTCCACTTCCCCTTTTGTGCTACGGTTATATATTTTCATTCCAAATATATTTTGATTATACAAGACACTATTATAATTTCATATAACTAGATTTATTTTCATGTTTTTTTCTTTGTTCTTCAAATCTCCTGCATCTCCAAATGTCCACCAGATCTGATCTTCCTTCTGCCTGATAACCACCCTTTGGTATTCCCTTTAGTTACAATCTACCGGCAACACATTTTCTGTGTTTGTCAGAAAAGATATTTTACCTTTCTAGTTGAGGTATTTCACTGGGTAAATAATTCCAGATTCTATTTTAGAACTTTGAAGACAGCATTCCACTCTGTCCTTTCTAGCATCACTCTTTCTCTACCTTACTTGGTCATATGATGGTGGACACGACACACACTTCTCAAGCCTTAGTTTCATTTGTAAAATGGATGGAAGAATGCCTACCCAAATTACCTCACAGTATTACCTTAAAGCTCAGATAACGAAATGAATGTGAAAGCATTCTTCAGCTACAACATTCCATATTAAAACACACCAAATTAAAAGATTAGTTGGAATAAAAGACTATGTAGGAAAAAGTTACACACTAAGGAGGATCTTGCTCACTAAGAACTGAAAACAAATTATTTCCAAGTTTCTAAACATTCCATTATTTGTATTACATGAAATTAGTTTCAGTAAGGAGAAAGTGGTTATATTCAGTTAGTTCTTGTATTCTCTTCCAACAAAATAAACAAGTCAATTTACTAGTTGCGCTTTCAATTCACAAAACACAAACTCATGTGTACTGTATAGTGAATACGAAGACGTAATAAAAATTTTAAAATTTCAGCTTACTTGTCAAATGTTTCGGCTATTTTGTTCTCATTTAGCTAAAAGAAACATTCAGAACATATTGCTATAGATGTGGAGAATGTTGTGCGTCAGTTTGGATTAGCATGAAAACCAAGAAACAAGAGGTGAGAGTGTGACATTATCCAATAAAATTTCTAAGAATAGAATTGGTAAACTTCAGTTTTCTTCCAATTTATAAAATCTGTCTTTTTAAACACTCTTTAAGTATTTATTTTTCATATGATGATAGTAATAAGTTAGGGCAAACACAGTAGCTCAAACTGAAAAATAAAATAAAAGGTATCCATCGAAATTGCTAGATGCCCAAGAATTTTTGTTTTATAAGTTAAAAGGTTTAATGTCATTTAATAAGAATTTTAAGATTCCAATTACGGTCTGGCTCTCATTTTCCAAACCTGTAGTGTAAGACAGCAATCTGGCTATGACATCTGTCATGCTATTGGTGCCATGGTTGATTTTATGGATCTAGTTGGTTAGGTGGCTGTTCCCTTCCTCCTTTACCACAACTCGTGTACCCCTTCCCCTAGCACACACACCACCAAAATACTGTTAGTTTACTTTCAGAGGTGTATGTGGCTTTTCTGTCTTCCATAAAGTGAACAGGTCATCTGTGGTCTGCAGAAGGTTTTACGCGGCCTTTGAGTATGCTTTTAAGAAATAAGCCTTAAAAAAAAAACCCTTAATATTTAGAAAATAAAAAAAGGGTATAATGTGTGAAGTTTCTATCTGTATTGATGAGGAGATTTTACATGTATAGGCTGTTGGTTTAAAATGAGAAGTACTATCACTCTAAAAAGAACTAAAGAATACATCTGAATTTCATAAGAATCATAACTTGCTGAGTCCCTTTCCAGAGATCCTGTGAGATGGAACATCTAAGGAGGCATAAGGAGCAGGCACCCCTGAAAAGTACTGTTGTCACAGTTCCTCTGTATTCTCATCTCTGAAATACTTTATGAAAAGTTGGGAAATAAGAAATATATCGCCGATACTGCTTATAAAATCTAATAAACATCATTTGTAAGTAACTCAAAACAGAACTCTTTCTTCTAAGGCTAATTTGACAAGTCTGTCTTAATTTTAATCTCTGTACTTTTAGCACTATAGAAACCATGGCCTTCAAGAAGTACACAGCCCATTTAACTAAAAAGAAAAATTCAGTCCAATCCACTGAACTTGTTTCAGTACCTATAAATACCACTAAGTAAGTCAAGAAGACAAAGTAAAACAACCAACTGTGATACTGAGATTCAGAATATTCACGTAAATGAGTACATCACGGTCAAGACAGTATATGACATGTAATGATAAGAAATATATAATATCTAAAAGTGGTTTTTTGATAATTATGATCCAACCATAAAAGGCCTCAGTCAGCATGGTGAAAAGTCTGGGAACTATTATCAAATGCTGAATTACCATTCAATTTTTAAAAAATGAAATAGCAACTCGTAAGAGAAACACGTACTATACGAGCTTATGCTTTACCTTCATAACATCTCTATATGACCGGATAGCTGAGATTTTTCTCTTTTCATCTTCTTCATCTTCCAGGCCTTCCTCTGCAGCCTCATAGCCCTCATCGTTGCTACCATCAGCTTCTACGGTGTTGGCCATGTGATCGATGAGCTGCTCTAGGGGAGGGCTTAATTCCCTTTCTTCATTCTCCTTCAAGCCATAGTCTAGTGCTTTATAAATAATAATTCCCAAAGACTCGATAACCTAGGAACAGTAAAGACAGTAGTTAGTGGAGTGGACTAAAGAGTTTTACAGGACTAATTGTAAGGCATAAACTATTGAGTATAATATTTAAGCTAGGTCTCATCCATTCTACCTTAGAAATACATGACAAATTACACTTGAAGAGAAACTTAAGTCTTATGAATATATATTTTAAAAACCCAGAGGGAAACTTTTCTGTGATTTTCTCAAACCAATACATAACACATATACAAATCCTTTTCATATTTTCTTAGATTTATACTGTATGTTAAAAATCTATATTCTCCATTCATATAAAATACTAACCAGGTTGATTTTCCACGTTTCGTTCTTTCTTTTTTTTTTTTTTTGAGTGGGAGTCTCACTCTGTTGCCAAGGCTGGAGTGTGGTGGCACCCTCATAGCCACCGCAGCCTCGACCTGCTAGGCTCAGGTGATCATTCCACCTCAGTCTTCCAAGTAGCTGGAACCACAGGCATGTGCCACCATGTCTGGCTAAGTATGTATGAATGTATGTATGTATTTATTTATTTTAGAGACGAGGTTTTGCCAAGTTGCCCAGGCTGCTCTTGAACCCTTGGACTCAGGCAATTCTCTCGCCTCCACCTCCCAAAGTGCTGGGATTACTGGCATGAGCCACCGCACCCAGCTGATTTCCCACATTTCTAAAAGATATTTCTGAGAAAATACAGTGATCAAAGAAAATACCTTTTCAGAACTCTTATACCAATGTGTATCTAACTAGAGATGTCATAGATATCACAATTATTTGATAGAGAGATGGTAATTTTAGTTATAGGTAGCAATTTATTTAAGTTTAAACAAGAAAAATTAATATTCACATACATATTTCACTGGGAATACAGATATCGCATATGATGCAAACAATGAAAGACTTTTTCAAACTCTGAGCTTTCAATGCAGTGCACAGATAATCCTCCCTACCACCTACCTCCATCGATATTACTACCAGGTATAACCCTGATTTAGTAATACTCGAAACATCACTCCTAAATACCACCCTGACAACTGCTCCAGACTTTGGTCAGTAGAGGGAATTCTACTTTATTTCTCAATACTGCCATTCCTTCCTTCTTTAAAAAAAAATCATATATAAAATAGTTTCATTTTATTTTATAATGCCAACAGCTAAATTCATTTCACCTTACCTTTTTTGTGTAAGATCACAGGCAGTGAAGACAAAGATTTAGGATTTAATCCTGATTTGTATATCTGCCCAAGACAAATTATTTAATAATAATTTTTCTTATCTGTAAAATGGATATCAATGATACCTACAATTCATGAGATTCTGTTAAAACTAAATGCATTCACTATGCATAGAAATACCCAGTACAGTACCTGACTTACAACAGGAAATGTTCTTATTGCTCCCCTTTTTTCAGCTCATCCTTTTCCAAGGCTTATCCAGTTCCTCCCAAAATAAGTAAATAAAATCTTTTATTTTCTTTATTCCATTTATAGCTGGTCGATGTTGCATTTCTTAAAAAGTGATTTCAAAAGTATCAAAAACAAATAGAAAAATCAGGAGTTTTTAAGTTGAGTTAAACACAAGAGAGCCATTGTTGTCATACACTGGAGATCTTAAAAACACTTAGGCACTCACTTAAAAAAATTCCACAAAACCTGAATTCTATCTTACCAAATAAAACATTTTCTCAACTACAGTATTCAAAATGAACATAATGCTGAAAAGTTCATAATCTCTAGTTTTTATACAATGCTGTTTAATATTTCTTATTAAAAATACATACTATTTTGATTTGTTTTAATGGTTTGACCCAGAACTCTAGCCACCATTTTCAGATAAGGGCTCAAACAATGGATCTTTTAAGTTCCAACGCAACTGAATACGTTGGTCACCCTTCCTAAGAGTGTCCCTGTACACTTCCTATCGCATCCACAGCCTGACCTGGACCTCTCAGTACTTCCCTGGCACAGGGTACACATTACTCTCATAGCACCTAGCATTCTTACTGCAGGCAGGTGCTGCTTAGAGCAGGGGTTTTAACTTTCAGTTCAAAGACAGCAAAGCCTAAAATTGTGGTGTGCACTGAATGAAAACTTGCTAAATTGAACCTAGAGCAGTCACTGTGTAACAATAAGAGTGTTCTACTAATATAATGAAGCCTCGGAAACCAAAAAGTTATCAAATTATGTTCAGTATATTTGTTTTAAGGCTGAGATGGTCTTGTTGCAATTGTTCTCACTTAGAAGTCACACTTAACTGAGTCTTACGTGGTTGGAACACTCTAACCATCTCTCTCTATATATAACCCTTCCCCTCCTCTAGCATTGCAGAAAAAAAAAGAAAAAAAAACCAAAACACAAAACCATTGCAAATACCAACATCAATGACGGCTTCCAATCGTAGCAAGAACCCAAGGGTTGCTCAGCAAGCTTTATTCTTTTCTCTGCTCAACTATTTTGACTACAGGAGCTGACCCATTCTTTGAGAAAGTAATTTTATGCCCTCTGTCCCTTTAAACCTCCAACACCTCTTTCTGCCTGTCTAGGGCTCAGTTCGAAATAAAACACAATCATTTCCCACCTTCAAATGTACAAACTGATAAGCATCTACACTTGTTTGCCCTACCTTCCTTGCACAGTGGAGGAGGGACTCTTGTTCCCATCCAAAGTCAATCCCACCCTCCCTAACCCCACAATCCCATTTTTGTGCTTCCTTTCCCAAACTCCTCAAATAGGGTGTCTGTGTACACTGTCTCTCCTTTTTCTCCTTCCATTCACTGTTTAATCCATTCAAATCTGAAGTCCTTCCGTGTGAAGTCACTGAAATGCACACTGAAGTCACAAAATATCTTTATATGCCAAATTTAATACATCCTCATCCCAAATGATTGCTCAAAAGCATCCGACACAATTGACTCTTTTCTTCTGTTCTAAATACTCTGTATGGCCAGGTGTGGTGGCTCATGCCCGTAATCCCAGCACTTTGGGAGGCTGAGGTGGGAGATCATTTGATGCCTGGAGTTTGAGACCAGCCTGGGCAACAGAGTGAGAGTCCATCCCTACAAAAAATAGAAAGATGAGCCAGGTGTGGTGGTGTGTACCTATAGTCCCAGCTACTTGGGAGGTTGAGGTAGGAGGATCACTTGAGCACAGAAGCTCAAGGCTGCGGTGAGACGTGATCATGCCATTGCATTTTAGCCTGGGTGACAGAGTGAAATCTTGTCTCAAAAAAACAAAACAAAAACATAAACATTCTATACTTCTAGATTTCCTCTCAGCAACTACTTCTCAATCTGTCTATAAATTCCTCCTCCGGCAATTGTTTGATGGAGCTCCTCAGAGCTCATGTGTTCTACTTCCTTACACAATCTCTTGCAAAGTGCTCTTATACATTAGCAATGCTATAAATATGATATGTATTCTGATATTTCCTTAACTTATATTTCTAGTCCACAGTTTGTTTCTGGGTTGCAGACTTGTAAATTATATTGTCTACTAATACTCCCGCATTAATAATTAATAAGCATCTCAAACTTTAGTATTTGTCTATTGCCTATCTCCTCCACTAAAATGTATGCTCCCTAAGGTCTGGGTTCTTATTATTTTGTTCATTTGCTCATTTTCTGTATTGTCTATTTTGTGATAACTATGCTCATATTGCCTTTGTGGTTGAATGCCACTATTTGGCTTCTGCTACCCTGGATCCAATTCCTCCCACTGCATTTAGGGTTCCCAGTTTAGTGACCAGAGTTCCTACCATAAGGTCTGGCATACAGAAAAGAGTGATCACAGAGTTCTTTAAGGATGTTGGGGTTCCCCTTACAAATTTATTGCTCACAGTCATGGTAAAAGAGTGTCTTCTGGACACTCCGCCAGGGTAGATTAAGTAGGCCTTAAATGACAAATCCACTCTAACATTCCAATCTTTTTTCTCATCTTACTACAACTGATCTTTGCAGCCTAATTTTCTTTTATTATCACTCATATATGCTGTTGTTCAACTGTACTCATGTCTTACTCTTTCCTTTGCATGTTCTATTCCTTATTATCTCTAGGCCACTATCCAGTATTGTTTCTACTTTCTGCATAGTCTTTCTCCTGAACTTTTGTAAGTCAAATTTCTACTTGTTTTTTCACCCCTCTGTTCTAAAAAATTTCCTCTATGATGCCTTATTAACCCCAGCTATCCCATCACATCACAATCTCTACCCACCCTTCTTCCCCAGACAAAAACAATAATTTTTTCTTCAGACTCTCCATAATGTTGACTTGTATCTTTATGCAGTACATTTCACTTTTTACTCTGGATTATGGCTATTAATTATGTACCTATCTTAATTGTCCAGCAAGACTAAGCTCCTTGAAGGCAAAAGTCTTCTGTAATTAACTTTATAACTTCATATTATTTTATAAACATACTCAATAGTAAATAAATGAATGATCCAAAATATAAATTCCTTTCACTCAGATATGTATAGTTTAAAGTTAGATACGGAATCTATGAACACAGGAAGAAACACCTGTCACTTCAATCCTTGTCATTCCAATAAACTGCTAGAGTAGTGACCCAGTCTGAACAGCTCTGAAACATTCCAGAGAACTTCCAGCCCAACGATAAACTACAGATGGTCTGGCTTAATGAACCAAATCTATTCACTTTTCCTAATTGAAGCCTGAGCCATAAAGTAGTCCTAAAGTTAACCCATACGCTTAGAAACACAGGCATAACAAAGCAGGACATTATTAGACTAACATGTACACCGACTCATCACTTTCACTGGACTGAAGGAAAATCTAATCTTTTGCCAGAGAAGCATATACCTAGTTCTTCAGACACTGCCCTGATCTGTGGACAACAGGTAACTACCAGAAAAATAACTGAAACATAAGAGCACTTGGACATACCAGCTTACATAGAGATATATTCTAGAAGCTCATGGGCCAAAACATGCGGAAATGTTAAGAAAACCCAAGAGAAAAAGCAGCATCAGATCTAACATATCCATCTGA